TGGCGTCGCTTCCGCTCCTGCCAGACCGCCACCATGTTGTCCGTCAAGCGGCTTGCCAAAGAATACAAAGGTGCGTCCAGCCAAGGGCTTGGTATTTGAATCAAGCCTGGTTGAGCACCATCAGGCCTACTCGCGCATGTGTGTATGCTCATCGGCTGTGCCGTTTTTTTTTTTTTTTTTTTTTTTTTTTGGTTGTTGTTGCATCGACCGGCTTGGATTCGTAGCCATGATCTCCGATCCCCCACCGGGCATCCTGGCCGGTACGCCCCCGGGCCCCAGTGTTCTCCAGTGGCCTCCAGCCAGTGTGGCTTGGCCCCTCACGCAACTCGTCATGTCTGTCATAGCCCCTATATCTGAAGACAACTTTTTCGAGTGGGAAGCCTTTATCACGTAGGTCTCCTCTGCCTCGGGGGCCCGTCACCTTTTGACGAGGACCAGAGCAGCCTCGTCACCGCACTTCCACCTCTCAATTGTCACGCATCTCCCTGCGCACTCATCCCCCTTTTGGTAAACGCACTGCCGGTAGGGGTCCTGACGAAACGCCATTCGAGTTTGGGGTCTTTCGCGCCATCCTCAAGTTTCCGCCAGACTATCCCAACAACCCGCCTTCCATGCAATTTACCACGGACGTTTTTCATCCCAACGGTGCGCGTCTGCGTCCGTCAAGCAGTCGTGCCACCACGTTGCCGCCAGCTCATGACAAGCGACTGTGCTTTAGTGTACCCGGATGGCCGCGTGTGTATCAGCATTCTCCATCCGCCCGGCAATGATCCCTCGGGCTACGAACTCAGCTCGGAGCGCTGGTCACCCGTTCAAAGTGTCGATAAGATCCTCCTGTCCGTCGTCAGCTTGCTGGCCGAACCCAACGATGGAAGCCCAGCCAACGTCGATGCTGCCGTACGTCTCTCGTCTCGATGAGCCCAACCAAAAGCTAATGAGATGAACCCACACAGAAGAAAATAAGATGAACCCAACCAAGGAACGGAGGCAGTGGAAGGAAGAAGCATCGTTCCAACACCTCACGTTGCCGCCCCTGTTGGTTGTATAGAAAATGTGGCGAGAGGACAATGCAGAATTTCGGCGCCGCGCCCATGCCTGTGTTCGGGCCAGCCTTGGCTTTGCCTAACCATCTGGCCTCACTTTACTACCGAGCTTTGGTGGGCATGTCATATCAGATGGTCCTGAGGACCCTTGTGTACGTGCGACTGACCATGTACCTTGTGCTCGTCTTTGTCTATGTGTCAGCGCACGGTCAATTGAAATGAACAGAGCATGGGGTTCATCTATTCGGCCTGCAACACGGGTCTCAAGGCAACGAGCCGCGCCTCTTCACACTCGTACGCGCAAGTCTACGGAGGATCATGGGATCATACAGTGTTGGGTTACGTTGCAGCCTCCCACTGTTGCATTGCCACTCTTGTAGCGCTTGCAGGCTCGATTCTCGGCATGCTTAGGCAGAATAGCCACATGGCATTTAGGAGTACCGCGCACCCGGATGCCATGGCCGAATCACAAACCAAGAAAAGTCGCACGACGGCGATGCATTGGCTCGTGTGGCCGGAGGCGTACTTGAGGACAACGGCGCCCGTAAGGAGGTGGTCAAGGCGTTGGTGGCGGTGAAGTTGGGCGAGGCGGTTGAGTTATGTAAGGCTTGCACTGGCCGTTCAGGGATGAAAACGGCGGCAGGTAGTCCAGCGCGCCCCACGCCTTGGTTATGCCGCCTAGACCCCCTGCCCTCTGATTCTCAGCAGACGCCTGGTCATCTCACTCCAGTTCAAGAGGACACAACACTATAAAAGGGTTTCGAGGTTGGGAGACTGTGGGGGTTAAGGAAGGGCGTGTGGTTGCATGTGTGCCGTGTGTCCTGCTCAACCGGAAAACTATTTGGTCGTGGGCCAGCACTGATCCATGTGAAAAGCGTGTGGTGCTTCCGACGACTGAGACTCTAGCCTTGTTGCGATAAGACGGCATCCACGGCGGCCGGTGACCCGTCTGGTGTCTTGCATTTCGTTGTACCAAAACAGCGATCCATCGTCAATTATTTTTAAAAGCACAGAAGGCGTCAATGAAAAAGAGAAAAAGAAAAAGAAAAAGCAAGAGGCAGGCCTAGGATTAGCCCGGCCCAGCCAGAGGACATGAGCCGCTCAACATGATAAACATGCATGTGCGGCAGAACAACACTTGCAAGCAAGGTGATTCCCCACCCTGAACAACAAGAGGGGCGGGAAACGGTGGAAGGTGAAAAGAAAAAGCAAGTCTCAACAGCCTGAGCCGGCCAGACCTGGTGAAACTGACTGAAGGAGAGAAACAAGGAACGGAAAAAAAAAGGAAGAAACAGGAACAGTCATAGAAAAAAGGGACCGAAAGGTCGAGGCTCAACGTGCACCAAAGCTTGCTAAATCATGCCTGCCCCGCCACGACGGACAGCGTCCTCGGGAGAGCGATATGAAATGTTCTTCGAGTCGATCGAAAGCAGACCACCCGCCACGAGGTTCAGCATGCCCGCAACCATGGGAAGGTAAAAGGAATAGCGCTTGTGAAACTTGGATGGAAGCTCGTTCTCCATGGCCGCGAAAATGCAAATGCCAATCAGACCGAGGACGCCTGTATTCATGCGGTTAGGACGTGAGCCGAAGCAGCCGGAGGACAGAAAAAAAAAGCAAGGGTTGCGCACGGTTGCAATGGCAATCAAGGATCCAGGAAAGCAAGTTTGGGCCCATGGCAAGCTCATTGTCATTGCTAGAGCCCAGGGAAGGCAAAGTTGTGACATACCGGCGCCCAGGGTCAGCATGGCAGCATGGTTCATGGTCACATGATAGCCTTTGCGGCCGAGCCCAAAGATGATCAAGACAATGGCCGCAAAGGTGGCCAAAATGGCAAGAACCAAAAAGGCAGCCGTGGCTTCTGTTCGGGTCACCATGTTCAGATCTGTTTGTCCAGTTGGCTCAAACTGATTGTCCAAGTCTAGGAAGGAGGTTCGACGAGCAGATGCGGGTGAGGCTCCGACGATGAAGCTCACCAAGAATCTTGAGGTGTCGGGGGTAGGCAGATGCCAGGTGCAAATCACGTACAGGGCTGGCAGCGGCGCGAGCAGTACTCAAATAGACCGAGCTCATAGCCTCGGATCTGCGTTTCATCGGGGTCGGCCACCGACCAGCGGCGAGTGCCGAGCCCCACGCCATAAAAGACGACACACAACACGTTGATGGCGCAGGCCAAAAAACCCGAGCCTGAGATGTCAATGCCCTGCCAGCATTTCTCCGATTTCCCCATCTATGTCAAGCAAGATGATGATGAGTTGTGAGTTGACCCACAAAAACTCGTCGCCCGAGATGCATCGGGCCGAGACAGCCGGCTGCACAGATCCAGCTGGGCATGTTTTGCGAGAGCGCCCTACTACTGACCTTGACGGTGAACACACTGATAGCTGTGCAACACGCAGGCACAGCGTCTCCAACAGAGAAATGTGTCAACAAATAGTCTCCACCACGGTCGCTCAGACGACGCGCGCGTGTGCGGGACGTCCAATCTGCCCTGCCGTTTCGGACCCGCCCCCGCTCGCTCGCTCGCTCGCTCGCGCGTCCTTTTTCAACACAAAATAGACAGAGAGACAGAGAGAGACAGAGAGAGAGAGCGAAAACAAAAAGAAAGGGGATACTTTAAGCAATTACAGTTGGTAGCAAATCTTCGGAATTGCTATGGGAAGAAACAACAACATCAACAACACCAACAACACAGGTCCAAGCTTCGAAGCGAGCCGGACTGCCGGCTCAGTGGTGGGCGCCTGGCTGAGCCGTTTGGCGCCGTAGCGCGGGGCGTAGCATTGGCTTTCTGTCATCAGTCCCAGCTGCCTGATGCTGCCCTTGCTTGGATCAGCGCAGCTTTGAATGGCATGACTGGCATGTTGTCATATTCACATTTCAATTACCAAGTGCGTGCCACCATTGAGTGATGGTCCGAGCCTAAACCTCTCCGTAATACCGAGCGCCGGATGGTCCACTCAAGCGTTCATCGTATAAAAGGGGTGCGGGTGCCGAGTGCGGGTATGCATTCCCAGGGAGGGGATTAAACTGTGGCTGTGGGTGAACGGCCGAGGGTGCGCGACGCAGGGTTGTGCGGGAGTGGGAAGAAGACGGGGCCTCGCGACGGGACCCACGCAACTCATGGGGCTCCATTTCCATCTCCTCTGGCTTGCCCAGGCGACGCTCTAGGCGCTTTTCCACATGCAGGACCCATACTAAAAGCATGAGGATGGCATGCAGGACCGAGACAATGGCCACGGGGGCCGTCACGCGTTGGAGCACGCAGTGGTAGCCTGTCGTGTACTCGAGGCGGAAGAAGAGCGGCCATATGGCCCACAGTAGCGATGTAAACCCGAGGAGGGCGGCGTTGACGCCTGCATTGCGCCGCAGCTCCCTTTGTCGGAGTGCAAAGTACAGAAACTGCAGCAAAAGAGTGGCCAAGGCGACGGCGTAGTAAACGCCGTTGTGGCTCTCGCACAAGCTGTCGCGCAGCCGTGCAAACACTTGTCCCTCGAGCGTTTCGTTGGCAGCCAGTGCGGCAAACGGCGCGTAATAGCCGTCTCCGTAAGACTCACCATCACAGGGTACGTTGATCTGCTGGACAATGTGGGCGTTGAGCCGTTCCTGAAGCGAGATCGTGCTGTTGGCCTCACTGTCCTGGTATAGCGCGCAGTGGTAATTTGTCAAGGACTCGGCCGCGCTCAAGAGCCAGATGACAGCCACACCCTGGACGACGAGGATTGCAAGTGCAAGGGTTTGGCGATGCTCTGGTGTGCGCACCGTGGCTTGCCACAACGACCGCTTGAAACTACCGTATGGTCCCGCATACCAAGTCTCATCGAGGCCATAGGCAAAGCACAGCAATATCGCCAGCACCCATACAATCGTGGCGGCCAACCACGCGGCCATCTCCCGAGGCCCGTCCACCACATACATGACGGCGGTCAAGCGATCAAGCTCTCCGGCTCGGCCTTCCGCCTGTTCAAAGGGAAGAAAAGAAAAAGGGTTTTACCCTTTTGAGTGTGAAAAGTGAAAGTGTGTGTGTGTGTGTGTGTGTGTGTGTGTGTGTGTGTGTGTGTGTGTGTGTGAACAACGTCAGAGAAAATCGAAGCTATTCATTCTTCTAGCCGGGGCAACCGCGCCCCCTCACCCCACTTGGGCTGCTTGCCGAGGTTGTCTGCCTTGTTTGAGACGATTAATTAGGGCTGTGCAGAACATGGGTGGCTGTGTAAGGCAGGGCATCGTCACTCGTCGTGTCTGGTTGGATGGATCGATTATATGAAAGGGTGTGGCCAAATGGGCCAGAGGGAAGAAATGACACCGGGCACTTGGGTACCAGCAGCAAGTGGAAGAACGGCGAGCAACTATCTGCCTTCTCTAGACTAGTCAAAACCGTCCTCGTGCAACAACTCAAGAACCTGGTCAACAAAGTCGTCCGAGTTGGCCTTGTACCTCACGCCATTTGCAATGGCCTCGTTAAAGATCTATCCACACAAAGACCCAGGTGCCACACCGGGTCAAGGCACGCAGCTTGTCACAGCTTGATGCAAAGTATTATGTGCCAACAAATTCTGGGTCCCGATGAAGCAAACCTTTTGCCTGGGGCTTGGCCCCAAGCTCAGGGTCCAGGGTGCGCCCAATGCAAAACTCACCTTGACGACGTTGGTTCCGTCGGATGCCGACGCAAAGTAAAATGGCAAGTTATGCTTCTTGGGAAAGCCAAAGGCCTTGTTGGTGACCGAGTAATCGACATCAATCTTGTTGGCCACCACAATGACAGGAATCTTGGGCCGGTACTCTCGCAGCTCCTGCGGTACAAAGGAAAAGGTGGGGAGTCGAAATGAGAAGCGGGCAAAACTGTGGAGCGCCCGTTGCTTTGCGGCACTTTGCACCACTTTTTTTGCGCGAGTGTGTGTGTGTGTGTGTGTGTGTGTGTGTGTGTGTGTGTGTGTGTGTGTGTGTGTGTGTGTGTGTGTGTGTGTGTGTGTGTGTGTGTGTGTGCATGGACGACTCTTCGTACCTTGTACCAGGTCAGCAAGTTCTTGTATGTGACTTTGCGTGTGACATCAAAAACCTGCAAGAGAACACGCGCCAAGAGCCAGCCGCACCGAGTGTCAAGGCCAGGGTTTGCTTCGCTGTATGTCAAAACGGCCGACAACTGTAGCTGGGCGATATGCGAGGCAATGTAACCAACCAGGATGCACGAGTGTGCCTCGTGGTAATAGGAGGGGTGAACTGAGGCAAAGCGCTCTTGACCCGCAGTGTCCCAAAAGTCTGAAACGAGAGGAACGACAGCATGTAAGGGACTTTCGGCTTCTGACAAAGACATTTCGCAGCTCCTCCACCCGCTTTTGACCAGACGTACCCACGACGACATCCTTGCCCTCGACCTTGGCATTGTGTCGAAAAAGTGTGAGCGCAAAGGTGGAGAGCTGATGGGGCTTGTAGTCGTCCATGAGGAAGCGCTCCACCAGCCTGAGCGCCAAAAAAACAAAAATCAGAAAAACCACGGTCAAAGATGACGCCCCAAGCACGCCCTGCCCTACACGGACAACACAAACGCCGCAGGACTTCCGAGGAAAGGAAGAAAACAAGACGACTCGTTGCCAGATGGTGCATTCAGCTCGACACGTACTTGGACTTGCCGACGGCACTGTCACCAAGGCAGATGACCTTGACTCCATTCTCTGCCGTGGGCATGGCTGCTGCCGCCGTGGCCGAAGCTGCATCCTCCGCCGCCGCCATGGTATGATATGCTATACCATGCCCAAACTATCAGCTTCAACAGACATGCCGGCCCCATCACGCTCCTCCTCACCCAGCCACAACAGTGCCCCGAACGCGCGCACCCTTACCTTGAAATCTTAAAAAAAAATGAAATCAACCAGAGAAAACATGAAAAGACAACATGAAGAGGGAACAAAGATACAACACCAAACCTTTGCTTTGCTCTGAAACAATTGGAAGGTGACATCGGCAAGCTTTTTGGTTCAGTGTGCTGGAAACGTGGATAAATTTATTGGCTTTTGAGAGATAGGAGGGCACCGACTGTGTTGGAACAGCACGTCATGGAGCACGGGGAGACACAAAGACGACTATGAATGTGACAGCCCTGGAGAGGGCAGCTCCGCGACACAAGCATGTGGGAGGCACGGACACGAGAAGAGTGAGTAGGGGATACACGCCCTGAAAGAGATGCTTATTCCAGGCTGAGCTGGTCCATCGGCACCTGGTCTTCCTCCAGACGAGGCTCCAAACGGGGAAGCTTGGGCGAGTTGGCAGCGGATGCTCGAAGTTTGAAGTTTGTGTTTGATTTGGCATCCGGGTCCGGGTACTGATGAGGGAAGACGCGATGCAATGCCTTGACGCGGGCCATATAGTAGTAATCTTGCAATGTCGACCAGCCCAGAAGATCGCTGCAAATGGTGCGGGACACGTTCCGTGACCCCCAAGTTAGGTTTTGTCGGGATACCCGGCCGCGCACGCCATCTGCACCGACCGGACCATGAGCGGCTTGGGGAGAGCGCTGTGTTGTGGACGCACCTGAGACGCTCGGTGCGATTGCGCAAGTTGATGCGCTGGCGGCGATTCAGGCAGCAGAAGTCAAACATGTGCTCGGTCAATTGCTGAATACTCTCCTCTGGTGCCTTGAAGCGGCGATCAATGACGTAGATACCATACTGGGAAGGGTCCTGGGGGTTGCGGGCAGTGAGGCCGAGTAGATGCAGCACGGATAGGAGCATATTGGGCTAGACCGGGCAACCAACCTCGACGTGCTCGCGCAGGAAAAGACCGAAACCACTCAAATCCGACGTGACAGAAGGCACGCCCAGGACGGTGCACTCGGCTGGCGTGTAGCCCCACGGCTCGTAATACGAAGGGAAAACACCCAAGTGGCAACCGCGCACCTTCACAACCAAGCCAGATGCAAGATGAGCTTTTTGGGGCAGCAGGCGTGGAAAAAAAAAAAAATAAATAAAAGGCGGCTCAGTGGAGTTACGTACAAACTCTTCATATTCAAGAGGCATGAGAGGAGACGATGGATTGAGAAACTCGGGGTGGAAGACGACCTTGACACGATCGTAGCGATTGTTAAACAACTGGATCCTGTTGATCAATGACAGCCCCAAAACCCGGCAAATTTGAGAAGAGGTGTCAACATGAAGGTTCGACCCGAGTTGCCACCTCGCGACGTCGTTTGCCATGGCGCACGAACCGGCGGATACAGCCAAGCACCTCATCCTTGCTGTCATCCTCCAGATTGTGTGTGATGACTGGCGGCAGCGAGTCGCGCTAAGCAGCAGTCGGAGACAGGGGTCACGGTGAGTAAAGCTTACACACAAAGTGTGGGGACGTGCAAGGGCATGCGTGGCTGTCATTCAGGCACCAAGCTTTCAAGCCAACACACCTGTGCCCCAAGGAGACCACGTTTCAGCTTGAGAACATCGGTTTGATCCAGCAGCTCGCCCGACTGCGGAAGCTCACCCCGCATGACCTGCTCCAACATCTTGGCCCCCACCTTGCCCTGGATGGTCTTAACGGTGTCCCTGTGATGCAATCATCCAGAACGATCATGAGCAGCCGCCCACGAGCATGAACACCTCATGCATGCTAGGAACGAGCGCCGGCTCACGTCAAGTTCTTGACAACGGCTTGGCCACGCAACGCTTCTACGTTGAAATTGGCGGTCTTTGCCGGCATGATGACAAAGGCCACGACTGTCACATCAGAGCCTATATTAAGTGCCCCGTCGCAAGCCTGAGGTGAGGCGACGCGCCCCGTAGTGCTGGCACTTTGCCAGAGCTGGCTCGAATTGTCAGATACACATCTTACCCGTCTGGCGCAGCATGTGATTGAGGCGGGCCAGGCTCTCAAGGTAGAGGTCACAGCCCTTGTTCACAAATTCATAGCGACCCGCCGTGAAAAAGTACAGCGTCTTATCCAGATCCCATTCATCGGTGATGTGACCGTAGAAGTGACCCTTGACAAACTGGTGAATCTTGGCCTTGCTCTTGGCGTGCAGGTTCTGGAACTCGTGCAGAGCTGAAAACTTGACCACGTTCAAACCTAATCGATGGCATCCGCATCGACGCAGAATGAGTCATGTTCTTTCTGGAGCTTTTGCGCCCCCAGCCGGGGCTGAAACAGAAAGTCGAAGGAGCGCAAATAGCATACCGTTGGGGGTGATGACCTCGGCCTCGCGCTTGAGCAGATGCCGTGCTTCGTAAGCAGTGATCTTGGACACGGTGGTGAAGATGTGTGCGCTATGGCAGCTGCCACGCTCAATGCAGTACCGGTGATAAATTTGACGGTCCCTGAATCAAGTCAAAGCGTGCATAGCAGCAGAGTGGGAAAAGAAAACCGAGCCACGCCAGTGAGAGCGAGCAAGCAATGCCAGCATGCAAGAGCCGAGAAGCAAGATGGAGCGGACGGCGCGCGAGAAGCTGCATGGCGAGAACACACCCTGCTTCCTTGTCCACATCAAAGTAGGGCAAGTTGTTGTAAAAGTCGCACTTGGGGTCGGCGCACAGGTATCTGGATCCAGGACAGAGCGGGTGTGAGCGAAAACGTGCGCGCGGTAGCGAAATGATAACGAGTGCGGCAGAGGTCGTGATTGAGCGTACCGGCCCAGCAGGGTCGCGTGGGTGGTGAAGATGGTGGCAAGACGGAATTTGCGGATGCGGCAGAGGATGAGGCCGACGCCGGCGAGCCATTCGTGAAAGTGAGCCACCACACACTGCTGATGGCTGCCGCGCAGAACCTCAGATTGGTGCAGGTACTGAAAGGGCCGGCACGAACCAACACGTGAGTGCACGTGTAGCGTCGGAGAAAGGCAATGAGCAGTGAAAGGGGTCTGACCTCGCCCATGAACCAGGCAACGAGGTAGCCAAAGATGATGGCATTGTTGGATTCCTTGTCATCCCAGGGACATCCAATACCGGTCTGTTCCCACAAATCCTGTTCAACATGGTAGATCGGGACGGCTTCACGTTAGCAAATTTCTCAACTCGTGTGCGTGCTGCTCAAACTTGAGTGCAATGCGTAGAAATCCTCCACTACCCCAGCAGTTGGAGTCGAAAAAAAAAAGCATTTGGGCTCACCTTTTTCCATTCATCAATGCGATGGCGAGAGGCCTCAATGTCAACCAGGAGTACCTGAGCCGAGGAATGCGCGTAAGTGCATGCTTTTTGAGAGATATTGGCAGCCTGGGGCTAGCTGGGTGCCTTTGGGCTTGCATTGCAGCGCCGTTGCAAAAGCAAACCTGTGGGGCGCCCTCAATCAGCCAGCGGCCGTACACGAGCTGGAGGCCTTGGGAGCGGACGGCATCAAGAGTCGCAGCCAGCACTTCGCTTTTGGGCTCCAGCTCTTCCACATCCGTACGGGCTTGGGGGAAGAACGGGCCGACGCAGCTGGAGAAGCAGCAGCAGCAGAACGTGTGATGAAGCGGGTGTGAGCGAGCCCAAAGACGGGGCCATCATCGCGAGCCTGCGTTGCGAGAGTACATGAGACAAACATACACGTAGTTGCGTTCGCCGACCTCGGCCACGGTTTGTGGCACCTTGGTCTTGATGACGGTGTGAATGCCACCCACTGAACGACGGGGTCGAGTTGGGAAAGACGGGGGAAATGAGAAGGCCAGCTCAACAAGAAAGGCTTCAGGGCATGACGGTGCGGCGCTGTGTGTGTGGAGGGGCGCGGGCACAGCATCACTCACCTTTGTTGCACACTTCCCAGGCGACCTCAAAGGTCATGGGCACCTGCGCAGCCCAAGCAGGGGTCAAGCATCGCATGTGTGGCAAGGATCAGCGGGTAGAGAACAACGGCATGCCAGAGCCGGGGGCCACGGCCTCGGTTGCTGAGCCAGAGCTCCAGCGGAGGCAACCAAGGCTCTTGGAATACCAGTGAACGGGTCACACACACCTCGTTGGTTGACACATCCCCTTCCAGCTGCGAGGCAGCGCGAAGGAGGAGATCCGATGTGCCGGACATGGCCTCTGTTTGATCCACACACTTCAACCGAAACGCGTGCCCTGAAGCTGCCTGTCGTTCCTTGCGCCCTCAATCAACAGGAAGCAGGTGATTCCCGGGCCGAGCCA